CATAACTGATATTTCCTGCAGCTGAGAGGGTTTCCCCGGGGGCTGTCAGCTGGGGGGTGAGCCCTGCCTTCTTAGCTCACGAAGCATGACTGCTGGCTGAAATAGTTCCTCATTTGATACCAAGCTGCATATATTTATATTTGCTTTTTTTGTCAGCAGTGTTCCTGGTTTTCTCTTGTGTTTTGTGTTACTCAAGAAACAATGGAAATGTTAGCTCAGGATGCTGGGGTTTTTGTTTTTTGATTAAGTTGTTTTTTTTGGTCACCCAGATCTATAGCCTGCCAAAAGGCCATGTGGGATCCCACATCGGTGTAGTTTGAGTCTCTTATTCTCGTGTTTAAGTCTAGTGAGTTCTCTGGATTTAAAGGTATTCAACTTTTCAACAATTTTCAACTTTTCATTCACTTTCAGAAAAAAGCTAAAAAAAAAAAAAGCTGTAGTGAGAGTATCAAACCGTATAGTAAGACTCTTAGGAAGAAGTAGATTGAAATAAGTGAGTTTTCCTATGTTAAAGGAAAGCATGTACTCTCGCCCTATTTATTTATACAGAAACCCAAGTACAAGATGTGTGGACTGGATTCCCTGACTGACCTGGTATTAAGAATAGCAGCTGGGCCTTGCTGATCACCAATGGCCCTGGATATTGGCAATAGTCCTAGAGAAATCATAATTCTCTTCAGAGATATCACCTCTAACATCTGGGGGGCAGGGGGAATCACAGCCTTGGGTTCAATGCATAAAATAATAGCACAAACTTTCTGTTTGGAGAGTTAAACGGTCATTCTACTTTGCCTTAATATTTTTAGTTTCCATTTTAAAAACTGTATTGATAAGGATTTGAGTTGATGGGAAATAGAAAATGCTTTTATTTTTCTTGACACCCAGCCCTGTTTTCTTATTGAAAGAGGTCATGTGTTCAAGGTATGTCATTTTGTATGGAACTGTCTAATGCTTTATGAGAAGCACAAACCTACTGGCCTGAAATTACAACTTATTTCATGCCTCTGAGCACCTATATGGAGTTCTTTCCAACACACAGGTTTGTGGCATCCCCTGGAGGTTTGAAATGAACCTTCTAGAAATTAAGTGCATGTTTTAATTGCAGCAAGTTCATGGAATTTGGGTTCAGCCCTAGTGAAACCACCAACAGGGGACTTTTAAAATAATAGTAATAGCAAAAGACACCTGGCCTTGAACCAATATTACAATAACATTTTTCTATAACAGTGAACTTCCATCTGGGACCTTCCTCTAACTGTGAACATTTTCTGTAGTTGCAGTGGGATGGAAGATGTCCCTAACCCAACTTCATTTATCTGCTTCACAACATAAAATGTGACTCCCTCCATTCTACATTTTGGATCTCCCCTGACTGGGGAGCCGGATGGGGGCTGTTGGGATGCTGAGAGAGAAATGTGAGGCTGGAGGAATTTCTCACAGAGCTGTAAGCTCACTGTTAGAGGCCCTTTGCCCCTTCCTTTTTATCTCTTCAGTGGTCTCAGGAATGGCCTCTTTTCATCTTGCTTTGTTGCTTCTGAAGAAAGATTCTCCACTCGAAGCCACAGAGGAGTTAAATACCAGCTTGTTTTTCTCTTATCATTGTGTCCCTAAAGCATGCTCGCAGCTATTTGTGGAATTTTCTCAGAAGGGTAGAAAGGCTCTTGCCTGCATCGACCCCTTTGCTCTCCACCTCAGCCAGGGAAGGAGTTCAAAGAGCAAACTCTAAAAGAAAAGCCAGGCTCTGCTGGGCATTTCATCCTTAGATTTGGCTTAGGCCAAGAAAGGAAAGACCAAAATATCCAACTGGATATATCCAATCCTTGTTTTTAGCAACTTGCAGTTTATTAGTGACCCTGACAGGAGCTGCTTCAGAAGAGCAAAGGGTCAGAAGCATGATTGGTGTGGGTTCGAGAGAAAATGGGAAGAGAGGAACCGAGACAGTACGTAGGGCAATTCTGAGAGGTCTGCTGTATAGTCAGTCAACAGGTGAGGTAGACGGAGCAGGCTATGGAGTCGAAATCAAAGAATTTGACTCCAGCTATTTGTGGAGTTTTTCTCTAAAGGGTAGGGTTACTACAACATACTTGTACACTGAAGAGAATGGTCACATGAAGAAGGAAACCTTTATGAAGTGGCAGCAAGAACACAGCGGCCAGAGGGATGTCCCTGAGTAGACAAGCAGGAGTGTGTGGTGCTCACCTGAGGAGCTGTGCTCAGAGCAGGCAGGGCCTGACCGAGGGAAGGGGTGGACGTGTGGGGTTGGTTCTCCTGATTGCTTCTATGAATGAGTTAAATGAGAGCAAAGGAGATCATCTGGATGTTTGAAAAGAGATGAGATGTGAAGTAGTTGTCTAGGAGAAGGGAGGAGTGCATGGGGTAGGGGACTCAGTGGGGCTATGGTTGTACTTGAAGTTTATGGTGATGAATTTAAATGACAGCAGGAAAAGAAAGGAGTACATGTGTGACCTTGGACATTCTGTGTGCTAAGGTAGGTTACTTAGTAGAGCAGATACTAGCTGTTCTACAAAGTTAGTGGGAGAATTAAATGTGTCAGAAAGCTTTCTGAAAATCGCTTCTTGGCCCATTGGCTAAGATCAAGTGTAGAGAAAGCATTTTGAAGTATTAAGTACAGGACATCGTTATTATGAAACTTAGCTTTGAATTACTTAGCACTTTTCCTTGGCAAAAAGCTTTTCAAGTTTCTTTAAGACAGCCTTAGTATCTCTAGAGACAGCATTTGGCTTCTGTCACTGATTTACTTGGTAACTAAGTCTAAGTGATGACTTAACCTTCTGCTTTTACCTCTCAATCTATAACATGAGGGTGGTAATGTTTAAAGTGCAACAAATGCTTTATAAATAAAGGTGTTACCTAAGTACAAGCTATTAATAAACTGGCCCCAACCATATGGTCACCAGAAAGTCAGGAAGGTCAGAGCATCTGAGAAAGTCATAAGTCTTGGGTGGTAGATGCCTCCCTTGGAAAGCTCTGACAGGAGGAAGACCTGAAATCCAAAGAGATCAAGTAACCTGTGAAAGCCAAGTGGCAGAGCTTAGATTTCAACCCGATTGACCTCAAAATCTCATGCTCTTCTCACTTGGGCACATGTGGAATTGGGCTTGATGGATGATAGCTATAGAATGTACAGAATAATCTATTTATATATATGTATATATGTGTATATATACATATGTGTATGTATATATATATGTACATACGTATATATACATCTATATGTATACATATGTATATATATATAAATATGTGTGTATATACATATATATATATGTCTATATATAATAGGCCTACATTTTAGCCCATTTAATCTCTTCTCTGCCATCAGATAAACTGGTTTATTGTAGATATCATGATAGAGTCATTTAGAAGAAACCAAATGACAAGAAAAGACAGGAACACCTGGGTGAAGGAACAGTAAGCTGACTCAAAATTTGCACCTAGCCACAAATACAGTTTTCAAATACATTTTGGGACAGAAGGGTGGATGCTAGAAAATAAATAAATGTGTGTGGTCATGGGAACTGCAGGAATACCATGTCCACTGTGCCCTTTACTGCAAATGCAATATGTACCTTAGAAACTATGGAGCATAAACTGCTCTAAGGGAAAATCCCTGCTCTATTAGATTTTTATTTTGGGGTAACAATTACCCACCTGATAAAGAAGGTGATAGGAAAAGTATATTTATTTTCTTTCCACAGCTAAAAGGTGATCATACTTCTAAAATTTGTTGAGAATGTCCAAAAAGTGTGTAAAACATTCATCCATCACTGGAAAGCCCCTGGTCAGGAAATGACAGTGCAGTAAATATCTTCAGCAGCCACCTTTTAATGGACAAGCTGTTTTCGGTTGGAATTTTCAGCACTCACATAAAACACTGTCATGAGTGACTGCTTGTGCTCCAAAGTCATTACTATTGGGATAATGGAACATCTCTCCGCAAATAACCAGAAAACTTTAAATGTCATGTCAGGTTTGTTGAAGCCATTTGAAGCCCTTCTCCAGGTTACGTGAATATTGAGGGTGTCTGCTTTTTCATAGTTTGAGGTCTGAGAGAGAGATCATCCCTACGGTTGTGCAACTGAGAGTCAGTCAATTAAAGGAAAATCTAGTGTTCTTTGGGAAAGTCAATCAGCCAGAGCCATTTAGTCATTAGCTATTGCAGCTCTCTCCTTACAGCCTCGATAAGCCAGCATCACTGTCGCTGACCAGTAACAGAAAACGTGTCTATACATGTCAGTATGTAAACGTGTGTATACATTAGACACTCAAATTATTATATAAGTCTGTTTTGGTAGGAAGTTTTAATTTGCCTGCCAAGTTCAATATTTCTTTAGGGGAAATCATTGACTTTTAAAATTCTTATAGAAATGTTTCTCCTTGGTTTTGTTCAAAATGGAAATTAATCTCATTATTGTTCAAACTAATGCTTATCTTGGGTCACGGAGTGTGGAAATAATGTATTTACCCAATGCATATGTATTGATCACCTTCTATGCTCCAGGGCCATTTAGCCACCGATGTTGCAACAGTATTTAAAACAATGTTCCTGATTTCTCAGAGCTCACATTCTAATAAAGAGATAGACCCTGGACAAGTAAACAAGTATAGGATGTCCAGTGGTTATGAGTTCTGTGGAGGGAAAGATGAGAGGATAAGGCGATATTGTGATGAAAAGAGTGAGTGTCATGTTAGATGGATGGTCAGAGAAGATTTCTCTTCAGATGGCATTTGAGCAGAGACCTGAATGAAATACAGAACCAAGCTCTGATGATAACTGAGTGATGGGCATAAGGGAAGAAGGAAATAAGCGTAAGTGCCAGTGAAATGATTGTCTATTTATATTTCAATTTATTCTTAACCTCTGCATGTTTAATATATCTAAGAGACTTGTTTATTGAGAATAATTATTTTAAAATTTCATAATCTTCACAGCCCTTGCTTATCACAGTGATAAATTTTATGGTTCTTCCTTCCTGCAGAAAATCAGAAAGTGCAGTTGACAGAAGGGTCACGTCCACACTACAATATCAATTGCAACTCAACAAGGACTCCAGCCGCCAAGGAGCTTAATTATAATCTAGACACTCACACGTCTACAGGGGGGATCAAGGCCGTTGAGAAGAAGGAAGCCTGTGATGTAGAAAGCAACAGAAAAAAGGAAAGGGAGCTTCTTGGCTCTGTTTCTAAAAACGAATCCATGCCTGAAGTTGAAGCCCTGCTGGCAAGATTACGAGCTTTATAAATTAAACTGGTAAAAAAAAATGATTAAGCCAAACTTTTATAAAGCCATGCTCTGAGCTATAACACTTGAAAAAATTGCTTTTTATATAAGTTACTTTATATAATTTAAAATTATGATATCTATTAGAAAAATAAAGCTAAATATATGATGCAATGCTTTTCCTATGCACTTGAGGCTGTGACTTACCAAAGCCTGTTACAATCCTGAATGTTTTATTTCACCTGGTATTGGTTAAATTACACATAATGCTTCAGAGAGCAGGTAGGTGGCCATGTGTTCAGCAATGTGTCCTTAAGAAAATACCATCTTTCTAAGTCAGCTGTAATTTTTACTTTACTATTTTCAACATTTAGACCCAGATATCTCCTGAATTGAGATCTACATGCTATTACATGGTATCAAAAATATAAAACTGAATATGACAGAGCTATGAGGAAATGATTGGTAAGCTCCTTACCATCATTGAATTCATGTTAATTAGACCTGTAGGAAACTATAAGACCATTGAGCACATTTCCAAAATTGAGGTAATGGGAATGAATGTATGCACTCTGCAAAATGCACAAGCTTTTGTGTAAAGCTGGCCATACATGGTATTACAATGCTGCTGAAACTCTTAGCTGAGAGCACACCCCACCCTGTCCCCACCGCCACCCCCAGGATTATGACTCTGGGTAGAATTGCCACTTTGAAACTTACAAAGTAACAAATTTCTTTATTTCTGTGAACAAACTTGAAATTGCAGTTTGTTTGACCTGACAATCAGTTACTTTAACAAAGATCTGAAGAAATGTTTCAAGTAAAATTTCCTTATGCAAAATTTACAATTGTACTTCGTTTGGGGCATATAATTCTGTATCAAAGAAAATAAACTTGTTACTTGCACTAAATGAGAAAAGTCACTCTTTTCTTTTTTGTAGTGAGCAAATTCTGTGGATAAGCTTGAAATAGACTGCGATGCAGTCTCTCTAAGCATCTGTTTGGCTTTATTACCTGCAATAAGTAAGTGACTGCTCTTTTACCTTCAGTTAAAAAGCAGTTATATGGAACTAGTCTGCGAGGCCCACTGCTTTTTATTTCCTTGTTTAAGTTGCCACCTCCTTTCAACTCCAACTTAATAAAGTTAATTAATTAGAACTATGAACCAGGCCCTGTTTATAGACATTGGGGAACAGTGTTACCCATAGCCAGTGTGGCAATAAATTGTTCTTGTGTGTATTGCTGAAATGTGCATTTTGCCCTCCCGTTGCATTTCCTATTTTCCTGAACACAATTCTTAAAAATCTAGAAAAGTGAAGGATATTTGCACATTTAAACAGACAGGAACCCTAACAGGAAGGAGAGAAGTTAAATGAAAGAATTCGGATTACCGGTTCTTAACATGATTTTACAAAGACTTGGGCTTTTCAGAAACACAACCGAAATTCAACCAGGTAGTTTGGATACACCAGGTGGCGGGTAAACACTCTGAAAACCTGGAGCTAAGGAACAGCCGCCAGGGAGAAGCATCCTGGCGAATAAAGGGAAGTGAAGATGACAGACTCCCGGTGGCTGGCAGGGAAGTCACCAGATCGAGCAGTCAGCTTCCAGAGCATCTGTCTGCAAGAGCTGAAGGACAGCTTTCTAGCAGGAGGTCCAGGAGCCTGAGGCCAGCACAGCCACTGCAGGTCAGAGGCCCACGTCCCCTCTCCCTGACTCACTGACAGGAGCCTGTTCTGAACAGGAAGACCATAACTATGAAGAAGAAAACACAGGAGTTGACAGAGGTAAGTGCCAGCTAAGAAGCTGATCATTTTCTGTGATTTCCTTGATAAATGTCTCTTCAACAAGAGGCTAAAGGTGTAGAATTCGGGTTTTTAAATGCATATGTTCCTTTAGCCAACTGGAAATAAAAACTATATTAATGACGCTTAACTTGAGGGCAGATAGTGAGGTACAATTTTGTGTTTCTGAGCAAACAGTTTGTTCATTTGAATGAGCAGATAGAAGTCCAACTTGAAAACACCTGACAGAGCTCAGTGCCCTTGGTGAGCATGTTCTATCCAGCTGGTGACAAACCCCAAATAGATTCTCCTGTTTCTCTCAGGCCAGTGTAGAAAACTTGGCAAGAACACAGAGATAAGTAAGTGATCGCTGAGTTGTCTAAGAGCAAAGACCTGCACCTAACAAGTTTTCACAATCAATGTAATTTAAAAGTAAGGGAAGCATAGGCTTCCGGTGAAGAAGGCAGAGTAGGTAAACGCTGGACTTGTCTCTTTCACAACCACATCAAAATTACAACTAAATTACAGAACAGCAGTTGAGAACCACCTGAACACTAGCTGAACAGAATTCCTATAACTAAGGCTATAAAGAAGTCATATGGAGACTGGTAGGAGGGGTGGAGTGGAGAAACAGGCTGGCCCCACACCCATACGTGGTGATTAAGAATCAGGGAGGATATCTCGGCTGCGGAGGTCCCACCTAAAAAGTAAAGGGTCCTGCCTCAAACCGGGCTCCCCAGACCAGGATACCAGTTCTGGGAAGAGGAGTCCCTATAACATCTGGCTGTGAAAAGCAGCAGGGATTGTGTCCAAGTAGGACAGTGTGCTGCAAGAGCCCTAGACACTTAAAGGGCCCAAGCATAGACTCACTCACTCACAAACACATGCACTCCGAGCACCAGCACCGGGGCTGCATCTTGAAAAGCACCAGGGACATACTGGGAGGAACTAAATTGTCTAGTTTCGGAGTGAGAGCTGGAGGGTCAGGAGTCAGGTCAACTCTCTCCAGGATGAAACTGCCGGCAGATACCACTTCCTGTGTTGCATGCTCCCCCTACCCAACTGGCAGGCACCAAATCTGAAAGCTCCATTAACTCTCTTTGCCCCACCCTGGTGATCCTGAGACCCCCCCTGCCACACCCAACTTGCGCACCTAGCCCAGACTTCTTCCAGTGAATTTTCCACACAAGTGGCTGGCCTTGGCATGCCTCATACAACTTGCTAAATGGCCCCAAGCCTGTGACTAGTGTAGCCAGCCTAGGTTTGCAGCATAGCCTTTCCTAGGTGGCACTTAAGCCCAATACAGGTGGCAACCAACTGCAGCCACATTGTAGCTGTTACAAGGTGGCCCCAGGCCAGATAACACAGCAGCTGAGTTGGCCTACAAAGGAGCCCTTCCAAGAAGCCTCAGAACAAACATACCCAGTGGCCAGCTTCAGACCACACCAGCACAACACCCAACCAGCACTACAAACAAGAAAACAAATGGGCAGATTTGGCAGGCTCCAGAGCCTTGTTAGAGCAATTCCTACTCCTTGGGATGAATCCCTGCACAACAGCTTATCTGCTGCAGTCACAGCCAGTCAGCTTGAGGGTCTGTCCCACCCACTGATGTGCCAACAGCAAATCAAGGCTCAGCTACAACAGAAGAGCACATACAAGTGACATAGGAGACACTTCTGAAGCACCTCGCTCAGGTGACCATGGAGACTGGGTCATACAGGACACCTTCTACATAGGGCCACTCTGCCAAGACTGGAAGGCATAAATAATCTACCTAATCCATAGAAACAAACACAGGGAGACAGCCAAAATGAGAAGACAGAGAAACATGTCCCAAATGAAAAAATAGGAACATAACTCCAGAAAATGAACTAAATGAAATGGAGACAAATATTCTACCAAATACAGAGTTCAAAACACTGATTATAAGTATGCTCAATGAATTTAGGGGAAAAATAGATTAACTTAGTGAGTACATCAACAAAGAGATGGAAACCATGAAAAAAACAGTCAAATGAAAAATACAATAACTTGAAATGACTATATTATAGGGAATCAACAACAGATTAGATGAAACAGAGAATCCAATCGGTGATCTGGGAGGCAAGGTAGTGGTAAATACCCAATCAGAGCAGCAAAAGGAATTTTTTTAAAAATAGGGATAGTTCAAGGGACTTCTGGGACAACATCAAATGTAACAACATTCACATTTGAAAAATTAATGGCTGAAGGAAGTAGACATATAAGTCCAGGAAGTGCAGAGAGTCCCAAACAGATGAAACCAAATAGGACCATACCAATACACATCATAATTAAGATGCCAAAGGTTAAAGACAAAGAGAGAATCTTAAAAGTAGCAAGAAAAAAGCAGTTAGTTACCTACAAGGCAGCCCCCATAACTCAGCTCATTTCTCAACAGAAACTTTGCAGGCCAGAAGGGAGTGGCAAGACATTCAGGTGATGAAAAGCAAGGACCTATATCCAAGGTTACTCTACCCAGCAAGGCTATCATGTAGAATTAAAGGAGAGATAACAAGCTTCCCAGAGAGGAAACAGCTAAAGGAATTTGTCATCATCTAACCAGTATTATAAGAAATGTTAAAGGGGCTTCTTTAAGAAGAAAAAGATTTTTAAAAATGGGAATAGTAAAATGGCAATAACTACATACCTATCAATAATTACCTTAAATGTAAATAAATGTCCAATCAAAAGACTAGAGTAGCTAAATGCATAAGAAAACAAGACCCATACAAATTCTACCTACAAGAGAAACACTTCAGATCAAAAGACACAGAGACTAAAAGGAAAGGGATGAAAAAAGATATTTCATGCAAATGGAAACAACAGAAAAGTTGGGGAAGCAATACTTCTATCAGGCAAAACAGACTTTAAAACAAAGGCTATAACAAGACAAAGAAGGACATTTTATAATGATAAAAGGCATCACTCCAACAAGAGATTACAACCTTGTAAACATTTAGAAGCACCTAAATATATAAAGCAATTATTGATGGATATAAAGGGAGAAATCAATAGTAATACAGTCATAGTAGGGGAATTTAACACCCTATTGACATTAATAGATAGATCATGCAGACAAAAATCAAAAGGGAATACAGCAACCTAAATGACACATTAGATCAGGTGGGTTTAATTGATATTTTTAGGACATTTTACCCCAAAGCTACAGAATATACATTCTTTTCAAGTTCACCTGAATCATTTTCCAGAATAGATCACATTAGGCCACAAAACAAGTCTTAATAAATTTTAAGAGATTGAAATCAATTACAGTCAAACCTTGGTTCTTGAACGTCTCCCATCTCAAATAATTGTCACCCAGACAACCCTTTCATGCTGGTACCTGTATGATCATTCACACATCTCTCAGGAGACAGACAAAGGAGAGAATGTGTGAGTATGGGTCAGTTTACTGCTTAACATCATGTTGTTAACATCTCAGGAAATTGTGCTGTGAATATTTTCCTGTTTTTTTTTTGCTTTTGTTGCTGCTTATTATTAAATTTTTATCTTTTACTGTATGTTTCATTTCTTTTGTTTAATTTGTATTTACATCTCATGTCCTTTTTGTTTTTAAAGTGTTTATAGATTAAACAGTACATTAAATGTACTATATATAAGAAAGGTTAAAACTGGGAATTGTTTGGGGGTCTAGAATGGATTAATTCAATTTACATTATTTCTAGTGCAAAGATATGATTCAGTTCAGTTTTCAAACAGCCTTCCAGAACAAATTGAGTTAAAGAACTGAGGTTCCACTGTACAAGAAAACTGAAAAACATACAAACATGTGAAAGCTAATAACATGCTACTAAACAATGAATGGGATAACAATGAAATCAAAAGATAACCTTGAGGCAAATGAAAACACAGCAACCCAAAATTTACTGGACACAGCAAAAGCAGTCCTAAGAGGAAAATTTATAGCAATACAGGCCTAACTTGAGAAACAAGAAAAATCTCAACACATAAAGTAACTAGAAAAAGAACAACAAACAAAGCCCAGAGTACATAGAAGGAAATAATAAAGGTCAGAGTGGAAATAAATGAAATAGTCTTAAAAAACAAACAGAAAGATCAATGAAATCAAGAGCTGGTTCTTTGAAAAGATAAAATTGATAAATCTTTAGCCAGACTCATCAAGGAAAAAGGAGAGAGGGCCCAAATAGATAAAATCAGAAATGAAAGAGAACTCACAACAAAGACCACAGAAATACAAAGATAAGACAATATTACAATCAATTTATGCCAAAAAATTAGACAACGTGGAAGAAATGGATAAATTCCTGGAAACAATGTTTCAAGGCTGAATCAAGAAGCAGCAGAAATCTGAACAGACCAAGAACTATTAACAAAA